CCAGATCCTATTGTATGTAATGTGTACAAACTTAAAATTACAAGACATTCCAATGCATGACGCCTAAAATTTTTCCATTTTTTGACCATATTTTTTTACTTATTAGTGGAAACGGGTTGATCAGATAAGTTATCAGGTAGATTACACCGGCGACGTTAAGCACACGTCTCCTACGGCAAAACACACACACATCATGTCGTTCACATACTATCAAATTATCGCCTAATTTTGGGCGACTGAACCGAAGCAAGGCCAAATGAATACCATGCATAAGGAGTTAACGAAGAAACAAATCTGCCGCGCTTGGATGAGAATCCTGATTTAACAGAATTTAAGAGCTCTAAATTGCATGTTTCGGACGAAATCAAACAACGTTGCACCATCTCAGTTTCTCCCTGTTCTTAATGAATGGGCAAAATCTTTAGATTTTTAAAATGGCATGGAAACCTCATTCTTTTTCAAGCAGCCCCCTTTGAGATATATAATCGCAGTTGCCCTTGCATCCAAATTAACAACTCTATTCGAAACATTAATGTAATGATTTGATTGTGAGTATAAGGAAATGTCTTGCAGATGAAAAAGTACAAATTAACGAGCATCAACGAGTTTTTATAAATAGCGTGATCCAGAACACCGTGACTGATCAGTAAAAACAAGGGTTAAACTGCTAACTACAAGTCACTGCACATTTTTATGAAAAAATGGACTGTCCGAAGGAGGCATCAGTTTATTTGATATGCCTGGAGTATGTGGTTCTACTCGACGATATTTGCCGTTCCCTGTTCGGCTTGCATTTATTCAGTTCACTGTTTGCATTGATGTCGGTCAATGATAAGGTGCAGAAACCATTGGAATACAGTTAGCTTTGAGGGAGGAAAACTCTAAGCCAAGCTTTACAGAGCTATCACTGTAACTCAAATTCAGTCGTGCTGAAGTGCAATGAAATGTTCTGTGAAACAAAACAGACATGCAAGAACAGAAGGCAAACCCATGAACCAGCTCGAAAGCAGTGGAAAACTTAAGTACAATAGCCCCAGTTCACTGGGTGTAGGCAGAAACTGACCACATCGCATGAACTAACGGACTTCAGCTGTGAGGGACTGGTACTCAAGAGAATGCAAGCACCAAGTCGGATACGATGATGTGCGACAAATATGGAAGACTGTGTTGACAAATCCAACGAAAAAGACGAGCTTGGGCTTCAAAGCTAGACAGCAGTAATTCCCGTAAATCTTTTCTTCTTCCACTTAATTTATTTTTACCTCTATTGGCATTATATTACGTGATGTAATTCTTCAATGCTGTGTTCTACAAGTGTTGTGTATCGGTTGGCTTAATCAGCTTGAGCTGTCAGCACAAGCCTTTGGTTTGTGACGCCTGCTGCATCCGCAGCCT